ACCAATGGATCACTGAAGAAATCAAAGAGGAAATCAAAAAATACCTAGAGACAAATGAAAATGAAAACACAATGATCCAAAACCTATGGGACACAGCAAAAGCAGTTCTAAGAGGGAAGTTTACACTGATACAAGCTTACCTCAAGAAACAAGAAAAATTGCAAATGAAAAATCTAAATTTACACCTAAAGCAACTAGATTAAGAAGAACAAACAAAATCCAAAGTGAGTAGAAGGAAAGAAACCATAAAGATCAGAGGCTAAATAAATGAAATAGAGACTAAAAAACAATAGAAAGGATCAATGAAACTAAAAGCTGGTTCTTTGAAAAGATAAACAAAATTGATAAACCTTTAGCCAGATTCATCAAGAAAAAAAAGGAGGGGCTTCCCTGGTGGTCCAGTGGTAAAGAATCCGCTTTACAATGCAGGGGACATGGGTTCAATCCCTGGTCAGGGAACGAAGATCCCACATGCCATGGGGCAACTAAGCCTGTGTGCCACAACTGCTGAGCTCTCACGCCTCAACTAGAGAGCCTTCATGCCACAAACTACAGAGCCCACGTGCTCCGGAACCCGCGCCTCACAACTACAGAGCCTAGGTGCCCTGGACGCATGCGCCAAAACTAGAGAAGAGAAAACTCGCATGCCACAACTAGAGAGATCCCACATTCCTCAACGAAGATCCTGCATGCTGCAACTAAGACCTGATGCAGCCAAAAATAAATAAATCTTAAAAAAAAAAAAAGGGAGATAACCAAAATCAATAAAATCAGAAATGAAAAGGGAGAAGTTACCACCGACAGCACAGAAGTATAATACAAAGGATCGTAAGAGACTACTACAAGCAACTATACACCAATGAAATATGCAAGCTAGAAGAAATGGACAAATTCTTAGAAAGAAACAATCACCTAAAACTGAACCTGGAAGAAGTAGAAAATATGAGCTGACCAATTACCAGTATTGAAATTAAGTCAGTAATTTTAAAGCTCCCAACAAACAAAAGTCCAGGACCAGATGGCTTCACAAGTCAATTCTACCAAACGTTTAGAGAAGAGTTAACATCCATCCTTCCAAAACTATTCCAAAAGATTGCAGAGGAAGGAACATTTCCAAACTCATTCTATGAGGCCACCATCACCTTGATACAAAAACCAGGCAAAGATATCACAAAAAAAGAAAATTACAGGCCAATATCACTGATGAACATAGATGCAAAAATCCTCAACAAAATACTAGCAAACCAACTCTAACATTAAAAGGATCATAAACAACGATCAAGTGGGATTTATCCCAGGGATGCAAGGATTTTTCAATATCTACAAATCAATCAATGTGATATATCACATAATAAACTGAAGAATAAAAACCATATGATCATCTCAATAGATGCAGAAAAAAGCTACAGTGATTAAGAATCCACCTGCCAATGCGGGGGACACGGGTTCAGTCCCTGGGCTGGGAAGATCCCACATGCCGCAGAGCAACTAAGTCCATGTGCCACAACTACTGAGCCTGCGCTCTAGAGCCTGCGAGCCATAACTATTGAGCCCATATGCCACAACTACTGAGCTCATGCTGCATGACTACTGAAGCCTGCGCACTCTAGGGCCCATGTGTCACAACTACTGAGCCTGCATGCTGCAACTACTAAAGCCCACGTGCCTAGAGCCCACGCTCCACAAGAGAAGCCACCACAATGGGAAGCCCGTGCACTGTAACGAAGAGTAGCCCCCGCTCGCCACAATTAGAGAAAGCCTGCACGCAGCAATGAAGACCCAATGCAGCCAAAAAAATAATAATAAATTAAAAACCCCTTAAAAAATATTCAGCAACCATTTATGATAAAAACTCTCCAGAAAGTGTGCATAGAGGGAACCTACCTCAACATAATAAAGGCCACCCACAGCTAATATCACACTCAATGGTGAAAAACTGAAAGCATTCCCTTTAAGATCAGGAACAAGACAAGGATGCCCATTCTCGCCACTTATATTCAGCATAGTTTTGGAAGTCCTAGCCATGGCAATCAGAAAAGAAAAGGAAATGAAAGGAATACAAATTGGAAAGGAAGAAGTAAAACTGTCACTGTTTGCAGATGACATGATACTATACATAGAGAATCCTAAAGATGCCACCAGAAAATTACTAGATCTAATCAATGAATTTGGTAAAGTTGCAGGATACAAAATTAATGTACAGAAATCTCTTGCATTCCTATACACTAATGATGAAAAATCTGAAGGAAAAATGAAGGAAACACTCCCTGTTTACCATTGCAACAAAAAGAAAAAAATACCTAGAAATAAACCTACCTAGGGAGACAAAAGACCTGTATGCAGAAAACTATAAGACACTGATGAAAGAAATCAAAGATGACACAAACAGATGGAGAGATATACCATGTTCTTGGATTGGAAGAATCAATATTGTGAAAATGACTATACTACTCAAGGCAATCTACAGACTCAATGCAATCCCTATCAAATTACCAGTGGCATTTTTTACAGAAGTAGAACAAAAAATCTTAAAATTTGTATGGAGACACAAAAGACCCCGAATAGCCAAAGGAGTCTTGAGGGAAAAAAACGGAGCTGGAGGAATCAGACTCCCTGACTTCAGACTATATTACAAAGCTACAGGAATCAAGACAATATGGTACTAGCACAAAAAACAGAAATATAGATCAATGGAACAGGATAGAAAGCCCAGAGATAAACCCATGCACCTATGGTCAACTAATCTAAGACAAAGGAGGCAAGGATATAAAATGGAGAAAAGACAGTCTCTTCAATAAGTGGTGCTGGGAAAAGTGGACAAGCTACATGTAAAAGAATGAAATTAGAACACTCCTTAACACCATACACAAAAATAAACTCAAAATGTATTAGAGAACTAAATGTAGGACTGGACACTATAAAACTCTTAGAGGAAAACACAGTGAAGAATACTCTTTGACATAAATCACAGCAAGATTTTTTTTGACCCACCTCCCAGAGTAATGGAAATAAAAACAAAAATAAACAAATGGGACCTAATGAAACTTAAAAGCTTTTGCAAAGCAAAGGAAACTACAAACAAGACAAAAAGACAATCCTCAGAATGGGAGAAAATATTTGCAAACGAATCAGTGGACAAAGGATTAATCTCCAAAACATATAAACAGCTCATGCAGCTCAATATTAAAAAAAACAAACAAGCCAATCAAAAAATGCGCAGAAGACTAAACAGACATTTCTCCAAAGAAGACATATAGATGGTCAAGAAGCACATGAAAAGCTGCTCAACATCACTAATTATTAGAGAAATGCAAATCAAAACTACAATGAGGTATCACCTCACGCCAATTAGAATGAGCATCATCAGAAAATCTACAAACAACGAATGCTGGAGAGGGTGTGGAGAAAAGGGAACACTCTTGCACTGTTGGTGGGAATGTAAATTGATACAGCCACTATGGAGAACAGTATGGAGGTTCCTTAAAAAACTAAAAATAGAACTACCATATGACCCAGCAATCCCACTACTGGGCTTATAACCAGAGAAAACCATAATTCAAAAAGACACATGCACCCCAATATTCACTGCAGCACTATTTACAATAGCCAGGTCATGGAAATAACCTAAATGCCCATCAACAGAAGAATGGATAAAGAAGATGTAGTACATATATACAATGGAATATTACCCAGTCATAAAAAGGAACGAAATTGGGTCATTTGTAGAGATGTGGATGGATATAGAGACTGTCATACAGAGTGAAGTAAGTCAGAAAAAGAAAAACCAGTATCGTACATTAACGCATATATATGGAACCTAGACATAAGGTACAGATGAACTGGTTTGCAGGGCAGAAATTGAGACACAGATGTAGAGAACAAACGTATGGACACCAAGGGGCAAAAGTGGCGGCTGGGGGTGTGGGATGAATTGGGAGATTGGGATTGACATGTATACACTAATAAGTATGAAATGGATAACTAATAAGAACCTGCTGTATAAAAAAATAAAATTAAATTCAAAAAAAATTAATATATAATCATGCACTTGTACCTGTACAAGTAAGTGTTTAGTGTTGTTTTGTGGTGTTTTATGTTTTTCATAAGTGGGATGCTATTGAATTCAGTATTCTAAACCTTGCTTTTTATTCTTTTCATGTCAGTAGATATTGATTTACATCATTCTTTTAAATTACTATATAGTATTTCATAGTAGGGCTTTACTATGGCTTATGTAGCCATTTATGAATATATCGATGGGTATTTACGTTGTTGTCCTTTTTTCTTTTCTTTGCAACTATGAACTAGGGGTAAGAATATCTTTGTGCATGCCACTTAAATTACATGTTTGATGCATACAGGATAGATATTGAGAAATGGAATTGCTGGGTCATTGAGAATGAATAATTACCATTTTCAAAGTTACTGCCACGTTGCTTTTCAGAGAGCCTTAAATAATATTTTTTCTATCAGTTGAGTGGGAGAATACCATTTCCTCACATTCTTGATTGGTAGTATCAACATTTTTTATTTTTTGCCAATTATATGGTGAAAAGTTACATCTTATCTTAATTTACATGTCTGCAATGACTAGGGAGAATAACATTGATTTTTACATTTACTGATCATTTGATTTCTCCCACTCCATAACTGTCTAAGCTACGCATATACTTGTAGCCTTACTTATGAATTCTTAAATTAGCTTGTTAAACTATATACTAAATATTATTAGGATATTTGGGGGATTACATTGTCTTTATGGAACAATTTGGAGAGAACTGGCATCATAATATATTGAGACCATTAATAGTCTCCATTTATCTAGGTGTTTTTCTATGTCCTATAGTTTACTTTTTCCCCTGTAAAGATCTTATATATTTATTGTTATGTTTATTCTTAGGTGTTTTATACTTAGGTTTCTGTTGCAAATTCCCTTCCATTACATTTTCTAACTATCTATTGCTGGTGAACAGGAAAACCACCAGTTTGTGAATGATTACCTGCTATCCAGTCACTTTGCCGTACTCTGTTATTATTTGTCAGTTTTCATCACACTTGTTTTCACAATCTACCATTTGGTAGACTAATACTACCCTGGAGCCGCCACCTCTTATCCCAAGTCCCTAGGAATAACAGAAAAGTTATAAGAAGAATACAATCCATAGCATGTAGAAATCTCCTTCTGGAGATAGTTTGTACATATGCAAACACACTTTTTCTTTTCCCACTTATACAGTACAGTAGTATACTGAATAAACAGTTAATCATTTTCTGCTGCCTTCTGATAAGAGTGTTCAATGTCAGTACACAGAGAGGATCCCCTTCTATTTAAGGGTGCCACTATATGGATGTACAATAATTTACCCAGTGCCCCATGGAGGAAACCGGTGCCCAATCCTCTATGATTACAATGAAAATACTTGTATGAAAGGCTTTGCATCAATACCTTCAGGATCAATTCCTAGCAGTGAAATTCCTAAACCTGGATCGAAAAGTATATACACCTTCAATATATATATCATACATATATATTTTTTGGCCATGCCGCGTAGCTTGAGGGACCTTAATTCCCCAACCAGGGACTGAACCCACACCCTAGACAGTGAAAACGTGAAGTCCTAACCACTGGACCCCCAGGGAATTCCCACACCTTCAATATTGACAGCCACCGTCCAGTTGCCCTTCATAGAGGCTGTATCAATACACATTCGGAACAACAGTACATCAGCATGCTGTTTGCCTACACCTTCAGCAATACAACAGATGCTGTTTAAAACTGCTTGAAAGGAATATAGACAGAATTGGTATCTTAATTCTTGCTGTAGCAGATGCTGTTAATGTCCCAGCTAGTAACTTTACCTGCAGCCATAAATAACAGTTCCTGCACATTCTGACAGCATCCAACTTGTGTCTGAATCTTTCTGCTTCTCTTCCCGAGTCATTCTGAGGTGTCACGGAACGTGCTCCACCCTGCAAGGGTGGACTTTCCAGGATGGCTGGGAAGAAACAGTCTATCAGCCTCTTGGAGGCAACCCCCAACCGATAAAGAATAGGAATCAGTGGATAAATATGTAAGCTTCTCCATCTCTCAGCAGGCAATTCTTGCCGGTTCCTCAGAGTGAATTCAGCTCTTGTTGACTACAGCAGTAATCTTCACTTTAATGTATCCTTTATTGACTTTTCTACCTTCTTTCTCTCACTTTCCCTACCTCCTCTCTTCCTGATATCACCTCCCCAGTAGCTACATGCCCCCTAATCCTTGCCTCAAGGTCTGCTTTTGCGGAGACCTAAACTGGTACCAGAGATGGCCATGGAAAGTTGACCCTCAAGAATGGGACTAGAGAATTTGCTCACTCTCTGGTCAGGAGGCATCAAGAACCTCATTGCTGGTCTAAGTCGGGGTAGTGACAACCCACAGCGTGCTGTAGCAGCACGTTTACTAAGACTTTCACCTCTGTTTGGGAATAAGGAACGGGTGGAAGGGACCAGGCTGGGGAATACGTGGTAGCTCTTGAGTGGTGTGGGACAATGGTATTCATAAGGATTGTAGAGGTGGCTGACTTCTGTTAACTCTCCTGGAAGCCTTGAAGAAAGAGACTGGCACACCAGGTCAGCCAACTATCAACGCAGGGCATGTCAAGAGAGCCAGAAGGCTTTCATGGCTGATTTTAATTAGACTCTTACCTCTTGCAGCAGGAGGGCAGACTATGCTGAACATTAGCCTCGGGATACGATAATAAAAATGTCAGAGCTACAGTGGGATGCCGAATGCAAGCCAAAGCAGGTGTTCTGCGTTAATATAAGGGCCCTGAAAAGGAAGAAATAGGACTGTGAAACTTGGAATAGTTGTATCTGGTTGAATGCGCTATACAATCTTAACCCCACATTTCCTTGAGTCTTCTGGGTGGGCATGCTTATTTATAAAAAGACCTTCCCTTTTCTCCTGTGTTTTCTAATAGTTTCCTTCCTTTTTTTTCCCCATTCAAATTTGACTGAATTATAATGTATTTTGTTGCAAGGAATGAATTGGGAATCCAACTTTTTTTTCTTTTTTGAGACAGCTATCCAGTTCTTCAGGATCATTAATTGAATAATTCATCTTTCCCCATTGATATCAAATGCCACCCTGGTGACATATTAAATTCCATATGCATTTGGGTCTTGTGGGAGAGAATGCTAGTTATTTACCAAAGCTTTTCCTTCCTCTCTCTGGGCTCACAGCACGTTAGTTTCCCAGCTTCGATTGCAGTCAGGAAGTGATGGACCTGGCACGTAAAAGCTTCCCACACATGATCCTCCATCCTCTTTGCCTTCTGCCATGTGGAATGGAGATATCCTCCAGAAAAACTTGAGAAGCCACATACTGAGCATGGCAGAGCTAAAGATGCAAGGAGCACGAGCTCCAGAATCCTTGCCTGGAGGAGAGTCTGCCAAGCAGAACACCTGTTTTGGACTTTATTAAAATGAGAAATCATCTTTCATTTTATGAGCCATTCATTTTTTTTCCTTTTTTCTGTCTTTCCTTAAACCACGTATTGTTACTTTATCTAATATAGGTCTACTTCTGTACTCTATTCTGTTCCATTCATCTGTCTGCCTGCTCACATGCCAGTAATGCACTGTTTTAATTAATACAACTTTATAATGTATTTTGGCAAATAGTAGGGCCAATCCCTTCATTAACTTTTATTTTACAATTTTTTCCCTGGTTTCCCTCCTTTTCCATATGAACTTTAGAACCAGTATCACTAGCCAAAATAAAATCTCCTTGCTATGTTTATTGAAATTGCCTTATATGTAGAGTCTGATATGGGAAGAACTGACATCTTTATAATGTTGAATCTTCTTATATAAACATCTTTCCATAGAATTCATGTCTTCATTTATATTCTTCAATACCTTCGTAAACTTCTCCTTGTATAGGTGGTAATTTTTCATTTAGTTTATTCATAGGTATCTTTTTCTGGTGAAGTAATGCTATTATAAGTAAGACCTTTCCCTCTGTTATATTTTATAATTGGTCATTGCTTATATAGGAAGTCTACTAGGATGATGTGTTGCGTCTTACCATGACGTCAAATAAAAATAAAATACCAGTCTGCCACCCAAGAAAAGCACTTAAAAGCAAAATAAATCTTTAAAAGTTTTTAAGCAAAATAAATCTTAAAAGAAGTTTAAAGTTCTATACTGCAATAGCAGAAAAACAGACTGTATAAAGAGAAGGTATGTTGTCAGTTTATTCAGAATGGTCAGAGAATGTCCGTCCCCCTTTTGGATTGAAATTCCAAGAGCTACCCTCATTTATAAACTTTCCATACTATTTAACAAATAAGCATTGTCAAGTTGGGGTTTGAGGAGGGTCAATAACATCACCATTCTCCACTAAGCTCCTAAGCAACTTAGAAACAGGCTCAGGTATTCAGCCAGATGGAGGTAAAAGTGTCATCATTATTGAGAAAGCTGATAGTAGAGAACAAGGCTTAAATCTGTGGCAACAACTTGTTTCCTACATTGCACCCCAGAGATATAGAGACTTTGCCATCCACTGGCACCACTGGACAACCGTGCCTGTTCTTACAAACTTTTGGCATGGAAGGGCAGAGCAGAACATACTTCGATAAGAAGGCATCCTAGAATTCCCTTGTTTCACTCTTCCTTGCCTGGGGAGGAGTGAGTAAAAGGGCAGAGCAAGGTCAGGACTGTAACGGAAGGTGACTCCATATGGAAAGAAAATCAGAAGTGATGAATAGTGTTACCCTCTGAGAACCAGCAAAGCTATGTTCTAAGAGCGATATTCTTTTTAGGGACCAAAAGTTCGTATCTACGGTTTTTGGACGCTAGTGTCAAATATTAGATTTGAATTTTAGGCAGAAAATCAAACTACATGGATTTTTATGTCATGCTGACATAAGCATTGTGGAACATGGTTATCAGGTTTTATCTGTAAGAGAAAAGATCACAAAAAAGCTGTAAAACTGACACGACTGCCTTTCTTTTGTTTCTAACAAAGTTATTCTATGGACACAATCATTAGATTACAGGTATTATCTTTTAGCTCTTTTGGGCTCATGTGCTTAACACATCCAGTCCTTAGTAAACGTTTGTTCCTACATTAATACCTGTATTTGTTCAATTTGCTCTCAGAGACAGCATGCTTGCAAGAGGTTATATAATACAGAGCACGTAGTAAGGTTTATTACTGTCAGAACTCCAGCGACCACTGGTATTTTCTGTACTCAATTCATTAAACATTTTTTGAGGCTTTATAATATGACAGGGACTATGCCAGAGCCTGGGGCTATAAAGACGTGTGATGATGCAGTCAGGGGCCCATGTCTACCGGGGAGGACAGATGTGAACAGCTGACTACTGTGTGACGCTGGAGCACAGCAAGGAGACCTCTAGGGACATGGGCAAGACCTCGAACCATGCCTAAAACAAAGACTCTGACAAGTTACGTTGCCCAAGTTCACCTAACTTGTAACTGGCAGAGGTAGAGTTTGAACTTGGACTGATTTCAAAGCCACCAGTGCCTCAGGTGCCACTCTGTGACGCTGGTGCCCTTATTACCCACGTCTGCTCCAGGCGGGGCAATGCTGCAGAGGGTAGACGGTGCTGCTGTAGAGTTCCCAGGGTAGATTCTGTCCGAAAAGCTGGCCTTCAAGCCTGGCTCCAACTCTTACTTCAGCCCTGTCTCGCCCTCCCTGAGTGCTCAGGGTCACGTCTGACAGGCTGCTCCAAAACCTTACTGGACCAAGCTGACAGAGGCGTTCCCCCTTCTCGAGCGATTCCACTTTCCTTACCCTTCCACAGCGGAGGCTGCTCCGTGGTAAGACTGAGGCCCAGATGAAGGGAACGCTTGTGGAGGGTTTGGAAATGATAGTGAATTGCTTGGAGATACTCACTCTACCCCACTTCCCTGTCATGCTCTCGTTGATTCATGAGGGACTTTTTTGCTGGAGGTCACCTATAAATAAATCAGCAACGTAAAAAATGGTAAGGATAACTCTAGATTCTATGAAGGTAATTTATAAGTACGGGGGTAGCAACTTCTAGACATTGTCTACATCACAGGTTTAGCCCCATAAATTCTAGTGTTATCTACCAGCAGGCAGGAAGGGAAGAGCAGAGGAAAAAATGCTGCGCCAGGCTTTGGCTTCCCTAATCCCGCTGATTGCACAAGTTTTAAAATTGTGAATAAATGGATGCTTGCACCAATTCAAGACAAAAGAGTTTTAAATTATGAGTATCTCTGTTTAAAAGCCCTCCTCCATTACTTCTTTCCTTATGTGCAAGGACCTGCCTTCTTTGAATAAAGAAAGTGAAATTCCACTATTCACAGAAATACAGTTGAACTTAATGTGGGATTTAAAAAGATCAGGGGTTTAGGAGGCATGAGAGCAGGTGAGACCTGGAACAGCCATCACAGGACACTCTAAGTAGGGCTGAGTTTCGAAATAACAGCCAATGTTTGCTGAATGGCTCTTGTGTTAAGGGCTTTATTATGTGTTATTCCTCACAATATCCTGATGCGTTAAGCTCTCTCATTGCAAAGGAGAAGCTGAGGCTGAGGTCACACAGCCGGAACGTGGAGAAGGGGGCAATGGAGCCAGGCAGTGGCCCTTGGAAGTTCACACTCTTACCACGATGCGCTGCTCTGTTTCAGTCATGACACTTCTGGTCTTGATCCTGGCGTGATCTTATCAGCTAGGGTGCTAAGGCTTCTAAGCAGTGCTGATGTCTGATCCATTAGCTTCAGAGATCTGCTTGCTGGTGAAGAACGTTTTGAAGTTAGAGACATGGTAGGAATGCTGTAGCTGTAGGCTGGCTGACATGTCACCAAGGAAGGTCTTCAAAGGAAGAGACACTGTACACCCTGAGGCTTGCCTCAGCCTCTGAAATGGGCTCCTGCTTCTGAATCACAGGAACCAAACTCACAAGATACTAATGTACAGAATGCCAACTTACTAATTTCCAGCGAGTGACTAGAATATTCACTGTTCAGAGAACTCTCTCCTAAGAATCAAGGTTCACAGAAGCCTCCTTAGTCACTGTAACTTCATTTGTTGAACTCAAATAACGAATAAAGGGAAAGGATGGCACTGATGTTTGGAATTCCACGAGGGCAGCTAGACCTACAAAACCAGAGGCGGTCCAGGACCAGTTAGTTCACAAACAAGCACTTCAAGAGAGTGTTGCAACTCAGGATGACCAGGTAGTACAGCACAGTCCAATAGTATTTTTACATGTGATCCTCATGTATCTTGAGCATTTCTGAAAGATGTCCAACAAAAACTCCCTAAATTTCATGAAAGTGCTTTCTCTTAAGTTTGGTGAGATAATCTTATACTAAGAAACATCCTGTAAACTATTGGCAGTACAATGCATATATTGCCAGCAATGTGGGACCACTACTGCTAAAACCAAAGGAAGATTTGGAGAGAATGTTATATAAAAAGTGAAGGACTTGACTAAGAGCTCCTTGAGAACCTAGAACACTTACAGATAGATGTCTACAGAAAACACTTCTAGAGATTTAAAAAAAAAATCCCCCTAGATACTGGGAAATACGTACTTGTCAATTATCAAAGTTATGGCCTAACCTTACATTTAATTCACATTTTTCAAAAAAGCT